TTAAAATGAACGTTTTATAAATTAACTAGAAATAAAGAGACAAATTTTATTTTGATTAGAGTTGAGACTTTTTTTCCTCTTAAGCAATTGTTTATTTCTCTTTTAATTCTTATATTTATATGTTATATATATGCATAACTGCCGCTAATATATAGGACATTTTTTTCCTTTATATACTTCAATAATTTTTTAACATAAGTAAATGAAAGACATAGGGAAAAAAGATTAAAAAAAGAAGAAGAAATAAATAGATAAATAAAAATAATGATCCTTTATAAATAAAAATAAGAGAAAATGGTCAAATGAGCCCCCAACCTATTATTGGATCTTCAACTACAAATTTATATTTTACGGGGATTCTATTACCCCCCTGAACTATTTAAAATTGAAATTATTACCTCCCTAAATTCTTACGTGGCAAAGTGAGTTATTTCACTCTCTTTGAGAGAGTGAAGACCAAAAATAATTATTAAAATTTTATTTTTAATATTCTTTTTGTTTTTTCCCCTTTATTTGTTTCTTTTTAAAAAAAAAGAAGAAGTCAAATTAAAACACCCAAAGTAATTGAAAAATCAAAACAAACAAAATCAAAAGAAAAAAAAAGCTACAGAACAATTTGAAAACTAAGCTCCAAGCGACGGTCCGATGTTGCCGCATTGATGCCAGAAAATTGAGGTACATAGTTGAAGCCAACCTCAATCACACCAAACTTGAAACTCCTATGAAATTGTCAACTATATAACTCCCATCATTGTAGATTTGCCATGGAAATAGCACAAAAAGCTTGGATAAATTTCATCTAAGACAATCATCTCATCTCTAATTTCATTTCTTCTTCTTAGCAACTTAGTAGAGCATTCATGTCAGCCATCAAATTTCACCATCACGATATGAAAATCACCACCATTACAATATCTATCACCACCACCACAAATCATAGAGAAATCTCATTCCCACTCTCCACAATTAAAATCTATTAAGTAAATTACTGCACATTCATTTTCAAAATCAACTAATAGTCATTAAAACTCCATTGAAATACCATTTTGAAGCTATTGTAACAAACGTTTTCAGTTAACAAAATTCATTCAAACAACTTAATAATGATGGAAATCTCTAAAAAAAAAAAAAAGGTTCTTAAAATTTCCTCATTGGAAAAGATTCTGACGGACAATTTATTTTTTAGGTCAATTAAATTGACATTAGATCTTATCATTTATGCACCTATCCCATGACCATAAATTTAATAAAAAAAATTAAAAAAGGGAAGAAAAAAAAGAAAAAATGACATTGATGTGTTCAGGGAGTTAAAGAAAAAGGAGGAAGAGAAAGGGGAAAAAAAAAGGAAAGAAATATCAATCAAAAAGGTAATAGAATTAAAAAAAAAATACACGTGTCAAATGCGTGGATTTCACTGATCAACACAAATGTGATTGTGACTTTTTAAGGAGGTAATAATTTCATTTTTAAATAGTTTAGGGGGGTAATAGGACCCCCGTAAAGTATAAGTGTGTAGTTGAAAATTCGATAATAGATTGGGGGCTAATCATTTTCTCTAAAAATAATGATCATAAAGAGGCGCCACATCAGATTTTTGATTTTGTAGCAAATTTTTTCTTAATAATAATAATATTATATTCTTTAGAATAATTAAATGAAAACAATAATGAAAATGTCAATACAAAATGAGAAAAAAAATTATGAATGTTTATTATAGAAAGTATCATATCGTTTTATATATGCTTAATTATATGTGTATATACGATATAGATATTAAAAAAATACAAGAAAATAAAAATATTGATGAACCATCAATTAATAATATTGAGTCATCTATTATATTATATAGAATAAATATAAAATTGAACAATTTCACTTTTATGGATAATGGGCTTTCTTCTTTTTCTTTTTTTCCCCAAACAAAATGTATTAACTACATTTATAAGCACATGATTAAAAAAAGATGAATTTTCCAACGTCTAATTGTATATCATTAATACAGAAAGAAGTTAATAACACTTATTTCAAATGCAATAACATATATTACGTATAATGCATCTTATTAATTTTATGAACCAATACAAATGATTTATTTGTAATAGAAGACTTCTTATTTCCTTTTAATTTCTTGTTATAACATTAATTTTTGCCTATATTTTTTATTCATAAACTTTAAAAGTAATTTTCAAAGTTACACAATATCAATCACTAATCCTATTTTTAAACAAATTTTATCTAAGAATATTATATATCATAAAAAAAAAATAAAAAAAAATAGGAACAAAGTTTATTTTTATGAATTTAGAAATTTAGTCCATAAAATTATCTTAGAAGAAATCTGTTATATGTATCAAGCTTCTCGATATAGATGAAAAAACATTTATTCAATTCAATCAACTTTTCACCTCCTACTATAATTGTCTTCTTTATTAGGAGATTTTAATAGATATATTCATGTATTCATCAACCTTCAATTTTTATAATTCTTAATTAATTTTATTGATGTGGAGTAATAATGTATTAAAAGATGAGAGATGAAAAGATAAAAATTAACCTATATATATTTGTAATAGGAGAGTTCTTATTTTGAGTCATCAATTAATAATATTGAGTCATCTATTATATTATATAGAATAAATATAAAATTGAACAATTTCACTTTTATGGGTAATGCACTTTCTTCTCTATTTTTTTTTTTCACAAACAAAAGATATTAACTACATTTATAAGCACATGATTAAAAAAAAGAGATAAAATTTCCAACTTATAACTGTATATCATTACTATAGAACGAAGCTAATAACAATTATTTCAAATGCATTAACATTTATTACGTATAATGCATGTTATCAATTTTATGAACCAATACAAATGATTTATTTGTAATAGAAGACTTCTTATTTCCTTTTAAATTTCTTGTTATAAAATTAATTTTTGTCTATATTTTTTATTCATAAACTTCAAAAGTAATTTCCAAAGTTACACAATATCCATCACTAATCCTATTTTTGAACAAATTTAATCTAAGAATGTTATATATAAAAAAAAATTGAAATAAAATAGGAACAAAGTTTATTTTTATGAAGTTAAAAATTGAGTCCATAAATTACCTTAGAAGAAATTTGTTGTTTGTACCAAGCTTCTCGATATAGATGAAAAAATATTTATTCAATTCAATCAACTTTTCACCTCTTACTATAATTGTCTTCTTTATTAGGAGATATACATGCTGATGTCACCTTTCAAACCAAGCTCTTGTTCCTGCTTTAGAGGTTCGAACACAAAAGCCCACTAGCCGAGCTGAACTGGTTAGTGATGGAAGCAATTCCCACGAATTGAGATCAAAAGGATGTACTTGCCCCCTTCCCCAAACATTACTGCTCATCCACAACATGGGCAATGATAGACAGACCAAAGATTTGCGCAGTCCTTGTGTGCTTGCTTTGTGCTTCTTCACTCATGCTTGTCATCTGCTCGTGTTTTAATATATATATTCATGTATTCATCCACCTTCAATTTTTATAATCCTTAATTAATTTTATTGATGTGGAGTAATAATGTCAAAGATTAGAGATGAAAAGACAAATTAGCCTATATATATATGCGCGCGCGCGTGCGTGTGTGTGAGATAGAGATAAGAGAGTTCTTATTTTCATTTTCATTTCTTGTTATGAAATTAACTTTTGTCTATATTTTTGAGTCATAAACTTCAAAACAGTTTTCAAAGTTACACAATATCAATCACTAATCATATCCTTGACCAAATTTAATCTAAGAAAATATACATCATAAAAGAAATTGAAATAAAATAGGAGAAAAAATTGTTTTTATGAATTTAAAAATTGAGTGCATAAATTTACCTTAGAACAAATTCGTTATATGATATAGCATGAATCATCAAAATTTAACAATGTTGAGCAAAAAAATAGTAATGAAGCAAAAATATAAAAACTTTCAACTAATAAGATTATAAATTTTAGCATATAAAGAAAATTTATTGAGGATAAAATACATATAAATAAGCGTAATTAAAATAAATATTCATCAATACATCATCTCATTAGATGAATTGCTACTATATACAAAAATTAAAATACATTAAGAATTATGTTGGAGCATTTTTCAAGCACAACTAAACTAAAATGGTTGACACATATATGCATAGTTTGGTAATGAAATATATATATGTTAATTTTTGTCTTTTCATCTCTCATCTTTTAATATATTATTACTCCACATTAATAAAATTAATTAAGAATTATAAAAATTGAAGGTGAATGAATACATGAATATATATTAAAATCTCTAATAAAGAAGATAATTATCGAGGGAGGTGAAAAGTTGATTGAAATGAATAGATATTTTTTTAATTATAAAAAATAAAATAAGTAAATAATTTTTTCTCCCATCTTTTAAGATATGCAAAATTAAATAATGAAAGTTACAAGTATGGAATATTAGATAGTTATGAGTATTTTATTAATATAAGTAAGACTATCATTTATAAATATGTAGAGGTGTGAGTTACAAAGTTGAATTTTTTTATATTAATTAATTGTAAAAATAAAAAATCATAATCAAAAAAGGAGAAAAAAGAGAGATAAAAATAACTTTGCTTATATCTAATTTAATTTAATTTATCTTTATATATATAAATAACAATTACATATGTAATATTTTAATTACAATTATATTTATAAATGTTTTAAATTAAATAAAGAAGGCAAAAGAAGAAATCTTGGAAAGATATAAATAGTATAATATTATTGAGGAAAGAGAAAATGTAAGTAGTTATTTTCAGAAATTTTTAAAAGCATAATTATTTTGAAAAAAATAACGGAAAATAAAGAAGGAGAAAGAGAAATCTTAGGAAGATATAAGAAACATCTTCATGGTGGTTTTGATTTGGTTTCTAAATTTATAGGCCACTGACGTAATTGATTATAGATATTTCTTATGAAAAAATCAAACCAAACAGACTAGACATCATGTAGATAATATAATTCTGACTATTTCATTGACATAAAACGATATTATAAGGTACTCATTTGGGAACTTAAATCCCCATCAATTCAATCCCACTAACAAAAGAGTTATGTAGGGAAAAAAGTAGATGAAAATAGAACACTGAAACAAAGCTAAACACAGTGATATATAAGTCTGAAAGCAATCCACTATAAATCCGCTAACATAAATCAAAAGAATCCCATTGCACCATATGAAGAGATCCTCTACTGAAACTGGCCCCGATCAGCGGTACTGCAATACAAATCAAAGAGATCAATCACTTGCTAAAAGGTGAAAAGAATCAAAAGACAATCCAAAAACCAAAATGAACTAAATAGTCAATGAATCATTTGTAATCAAGTTTTGAGAAATCGCTGACAGGTTTTAATGGCTATTGGCAAATCAAAAATGCTAAAGAAACATACTTTGAGGGGTTCTTTGAACCAAGAGTTTAGGTTATAAGGGGCCGTATAATTAATGAAATGGCTACAGCCATAAGCTTGGAAAAATCTTCAAGTACTTCATTATATTAGATGACAGTGGAATGTGATTTACAAAGCAGATATCTGAATTTCCACATTTCTGTTGCTATTTAGTTGCAAACATAAGGGTAACAAGCAGAGCTCAGCTTGTCTCTGACAGTAGACAAACAGAGCTTAACGTGTCTCTGACCTTACACAAGCAGAGCTTAACGTGTCTCTGACCGTAAACAAGTAGAGCTCAGCTTGATACAACTCACAATCCAACCAATACGGAGGGAGCAGGGTGTAAACAAAAGGATTCAGCTTCTTTATATTCATGACTATGCCTATGCAGATTCAGCATTTTACCTTTATGAAACCAATTTCCTTGGCATTGCTGCGGAAGCACTGCCTGCAGCACATGAGTCCATACTTCCTAATAATTGCATGTGGATTTCCACACACACGGCTGCATAAAACACCAATTTTCCACATGAGAAATTAGATATGCATTCAATCTCTTTTGGTAAGACTCTTAACATGAAAGCAAATCCAACTAGGGGAAGCCAAAAGGAACGAATGAGTATCTAGAGGTACATCATTCCAACTAGAGGAAGCTGAAAGAATGAATAAACATCCATAGGTACATGGTCTAGCACTATGGTCATGGTCATGGTATACTCAAAATAAAAGATGTCATGAAAACCAAAATCAAATGTTCAACGCAAGCTCATCATCTTAACACAAGCTCATCTTGCCAAAGCAAATCAGAGTCCCACATAGGGAAGCTCAAAAGGAATTAAACTATATCCAATATACAGTTTCTTGAGTAATACTCTCCTAATTTGCATCAAATGATAGGAAAAAAACAAAAACCAAAACTTGCACAGAAAAACATCTGATCCATTCCAATAAGCACTAGAAATATAACACTTATCAGCAGATGTTATCTACAGCAAATGCATAACCACACACCTACAAATGTCCGGTCAGTATTTGCAGAAGGGAAAAAAAGATCATATACGGAACAGATTAAACAGCTGTATATCATTGAAAGGAAATAAACACAATGCACTAGGAATAATTTTATCAGGAATGTATGTTCCATAAGCTACCAACCCTAGAAAAAGGAGAAGGCATATCATCAATTACACAATTTATACATGCTTAGAAATTATCCAGTGTTTACTTTTTCATATTTTGAACTCAAGTGAAAATCGAAAGGCCACCACTACCATCATATCACTATAACACTAATATACAAGTACCAATTTAATCAAGACTCCTGATTGAAAAAATCGCAAACTGACTGCCGCAATAAATCATAAGAGTTGATACATACAAGCATATAATTGTAACGATGAAATTGAATGAAATAATTGAATTAAAGATCTCTCTCAATCATCTTCTCTACTTGAAATTAAATCAAACAAGGGAGAAAAAAATGATAAGATACCAGGTGCGGGAACCAGGGCCGTAGTTCTTGGGGTGAGCGTTCCAGATGTTAGAGTGACCCATCTTCACAAAGCAGAGGCTGAGGCTGCGCTTTCTGATATATCAAAAACCCTAATTACTCAATACCTCTCCTTTACTTGCTTCCAGTTACGAATAGAGGATATATATATATACATATAGCTTAGGCCGTAGGGGCAGTAATGGAAATGTTGTTCAGAAACACTTTAAAAAAAGGATTAATAATTTAAAAGATAAGTTTTAAATATATACTTCGTGCAATAAAGAAATTAATTTATGATAAATATGAGGGGAAAAGGTCTGATATATCCTTCAACTTTGTCATTTAGAACTGATGTATCTTTCATTATGAAATTGCCTTATATATACTCTTACCGTTATACAAATGACTTACATATACCTTTTCCGTTACAAAAGGAGCTCACATATACCCTTTATCGAATGGACGTGAAAAAATTAGTTTTAGATATATTTTTTTTACTTTAAATTTTAGAAAAATTCATGTAGGGGTATATATGTGATCCTTCTAACAAAGTTCAAGGTATATTTTAATCTTTTTCATACAAAAATTATTATTTTTTGATTTCTTTGATTATCATTATTCGAGTTTCTTATACCTTTATTTTTATTTCATTCTTTAATGTAAAGAAAAAATTTAAAACTAAATTTTGTGCGGCTATATTATAATTTAGTTTTGTATTTGTAAAATAATAAACAATAGGGCATCTATAATAAATTTTACAAGAAAATTAGTGAAACATAAATAAATTTGACCCTTAAAATAATAAATTTAAATTAGTCGTTGAAACAAAAAAGTTAAAAAAATATATATGTGAGAAGGAAGGATCAAATATACCTCATATGGATTATATTTTTTTCAAAAAATAGAATTAAAAGATTAAATTAAAATTAATTTTTTTTCACTTCCGTTAGAAGAAAGAGTATATGTGAGTCATTTTTATAACAATATGGGTATATATGAGCCACTTTATATCAGTTTTAAATGGCAAAGTTGAAGGGTATATCACACTTTTTTCCCTAAATATAATTATGTTCTTATATTCATAAAAAAAAGGTAGTCAAATTTCATAGAAAGTATAAGTTGACTATACATTATGATACACTAAAAAAGTTGAACATAACTTACTGATACATTTTGCAAATACATTAATATATATTATGATACACTCAAAAAAGTTAAATATAGTTTAACTATACATGAAATTTACATTAACTATACATGAAATAAACATTAACTTCTATTCATTTTCTCCCAACTCAATTTCCTCTAAATAATCTCAAAATCTAGATATGAAATCCTTTTGATATATGATTTGTTTGAACCAGTTCACATTTGCGGTACATTAAATTTTAAAAAGAAAAAGAAGGACAAAGTGGATTTTTGGCCAAATTTTGAGAAAGTATAAATAGCCCAAAGGATAAAAGTTGAATAGTGTGGAACAGAGAGGTTGAACAGTGCGATAGAACATAAGGAAGAGTTCATAGTTATTAAACTTTACATTTGAAGAACAATTTTCTAGTTTTGGGGTTTTACAATTTGAAGGTTGAATTTGATAAATTGAAGTTAAATCCAACGTGAGTTTACTCTTACTTTCTTGATTTCAAGTTATGCATGGCTGGTTTCATGAAAGGTATAATTTCTTTACTTTTTGTGATGGGTGGCTAAAACTCCAAGATCTAGGGGTGCTCAAATGGGATTTGGTGTTGATTTAATGTAGTGGACAGGGGCGTAGCTACATACTCTTTAGGGTGTCCAATTGGACACCCTTCGTCTGGAAATTATATCGTATATACAAGTAAAATAATATAAAAAGTGGTTAAATAATGTATTTTGGACACCTTAACACAACAAGGTGTTATAGCCTAGTGGTTTAATGTGCCTTGAAAGAGCCAAGCCTTTAAGTGTTTGTGAGTTTAAATCTCACTAGCAGCAGCTTTAAGCCTCTTTTTTCCTTTTTTTTTTCAAATTTTTTCATGTATATTATGTACTTTTTTTCAAAAAAATTCATGTATATTACATAGTTTAATTTTTAAAATTTCTAGTGTACTCTTTCATCTTTTTCCTCTTTTTTTCATGTATATTACATAATTTTTTTTAAAAAAATCATGTATATTACGTAGTTTAATTTTTAAAATTTCTAGTGCACTCATTCATCCAAAAAAAATGTACTCGTGTACAATTCTTGGACACCCTTCGTGAAATTTTTGGCTATGCCACTGGTAGTGGGTATTGTGCTATAATCTGTTTTATTGTTGTTCATGCATGAATTTGGTCTAATTACCATGGGGTTAACTTATGGGTTAAGGTTGCAAACTTAATTCCAACTTCCGATCTCAGGTTGATGCTCAAAAGGGATTAATTGGAGTGGATAATTAGTTTAATACTAGTAATTTAAGTTTGAAATATATGGCTAACTTGAAAGAGAGGTTATGGGTCGGATCTATTTACCCTATTCTTGAAAGAGAGAGTAGAGTAAGGTATTGAGTTGTTTAGAAATGACATATAGATGAGACTGAAAGGAGATTCTATGCATAGATGCTCTGAGATCGAAATATGATTAGCATCAATGAAGATGACTTAGCCTATTTAGGAATGTTCATCGCTATAGAGCAACACAATCACCCCTATGTGACATCGATTTCCAATCCCTGCACCCATAGATTGTTATGTGATAATTGATAACCAAAGCTTTTTATTAAGTTGGGTGTACCATCCACCCAATTGTTCTTACTATTACAAATGAGATAATTTAAAGTTCAAATTTCTTGATAAGAAATTCTCTAAGATATACCATTCCTTGTGGGATTTGACCCCGACTCTTCGTTGGATTTTTTACTGACTATGATCGCTCACTCTTTTAATTGATTTTTGAGAGTGATTTGAGTGTTATCATAATTGGCGCCGCTGCCGGGGAGTGGTTGTTGAGAAATTAGATTTTAATTTGGGTTACTTGTAGTAGATTTATTGTTTGGTGTTGTTGTTGGCTGATTTGCAGATTGAGAACATGAGTGACCATGGAGTAACAATGACAATCTCTATGGTCAAAATGATAATATGGGTGATCTCAATGACATGCCCATTAATGTCATACTAACCACTGGAGCAACGAACACCTCCTGCAACCGGGAGGACGGTATTTCACATCACCATAACTATGATACAATTGCTCCAAATGAAAGGAATTTTTGGGGGTCTAGCTCATGAGGATCCCCATGAGCACCTTAGGAATTTCAAGGAGGTATGTGGACCCTTTGTGCTCAAGAATATCTCCCAAGAATCTATAAGGTTGAGGTTATTTCCGTTCGCAATAATGGAGAGGCTACAAGATGGTTGGTGGAGTTGCCAAATGATTCTATTACTTTGTGGGATGAGCTAACTGAGGTATCCTTGGAAAGATTCTTTCCACCCTTAAAGATGGTTAAATTTCGTCTCCGAATCTAAAATTTCAAGTGTGTCTGAGGTGAGCCTTTGCATGAAACATGATTGAAGTTCAAGAAACTGCTCTTGCAATGTCCAACACATGGAGATTCGTACAATTTGTTGTTGTAATACTTCCATTGCAGCATTGATTCAGTCAACAAAGATGTGGCTGATCAGTTAGTCCAAGGTGGATTAATGAAACAATCGTATGATGTGGCTGCGTTGTTACTAGATGATATGACTAAGGTCAATGTCACGACCCGGGAGCACCCCCAAGTTGTAACAAGGCGTACTCGACCCCGAAGGGGTCTTATACAAGCCACATAGTCATTCATTGCATTCAATAATGATAATAGTCCAGAATGAAAAACTTATTTATATCCACACATTTAAACTTCATTAAAACAACTTTAAAAACACACAGCGGAAGTCTAAGTCTCACATGACCATCTTAGACACAAAACATAAGTAGGGACACAACCCTTTACAATCAAAACAAAACTAAAAGTGTCTATTACATGAACAAAAGAACTTAAAAGTCTTATCCTCGAATCCATGAGGACATACCAAGTCTTGGAGGAAAGCAATCCAACACTTCAAACTAGCTAGGAGGGATCACTTGCCGGAACCTACACTTGTAGTAAAAACATGAAGAATATGGGTTAGTACACAAAATGTACTAAGTATGATGACCATGCAAAACATGCTTTAAAAAGGGACATTTTGGCTAGAAACCATGCATTATGCCACTTTTTGAAGTATCATGAACAGTTGGATAGAAGAAATACAAGACAAGCATAAACATCAAGTAAGTCATAATATCACCTTTAAACAATACCAACATGAAAACTTTTACCTTGGACCTTCACCTCAAGAAACCCTTATGCTATACCTCGTGCAATGTATGGATGGCGTCCCATACCACCATCCATACTAAGGCACCACATTTAGGTCACTTAAAGTAACTTATCATTCCTTTCTTTCACCTTTGCACAATATTCATACATAAGAGGTATATCATTAATTAAGACATGACAAGGGAAAATAACTCATAATATAACCCAAGTATAGCATGCATCTCATATTAAGCATTTGAGAGCCAACATTCTTTAATAACCTCATTTAGGGCACATTTATGTCACATACATTAGGATTTAGAGAAACTCACTATGACCCTCTCCAAGCCTACTCGTGCAATGTATATGTAGCATCCCATACTACTACCTACACTTTGTAGAACCTATCAAGAAACCATAATGAAATCTAACATGATGGGAAGTAAGCGTTTAACCGACATAGACCATGAGAGCTTGTCATGGAATCCGGTGTCATAAGTCCCCACATCGTAAAGAGGTGGTCTACTTGCCTAAGGAAGACCGGTATATATAGCTTAATGGATCCACTAGCTACCTATGCGGGCACATAGTTTATGGGATAAGGTAGACGATCATTGAAACTCATGCCTTACTATTAGGGGAGTTTCCATCTAACCAAATCCACTCGGTGCTTAGCCTACATTCCCATAGAATAGTTCGTTACCTTGGCATTATCATATATGAGAGGTGCCATTGGCCTACCAACTCCAAATTACATTTATTAACACGTGAAAAGGTGCTTTAAGCCTACCATTTCAAGGTTCATTTAGGAAAGCTCATTAACTCCTCTTGAAATGGTGCCATGGGCCT